CTCTTCGCGCAATCCTCTTCTGAAAAGGGTGCGGAGCGCCGTCTCATTCCATCCACTGGATGCTGCCACTGTCCGAAAGGTGAGTGCGTACTCCGCCGCGGTCTGGCCATCCTGCCGTAGTTGGAGTAGGTGCTCACCCACCTCTCTACCCTCTGGTGGATGGTCGAAGACCCCCCTGAACAGAGCCATGAACCCCTCATAGGAACCCAGCTTTTCCTCTCCTCTCTCCCAGACGGCCGTGGATCACTCCAACGCCCGTCCAGTCAGCAGAGAAATAACCATGGCAACCTTGGCCCTCTCATGGTGGAGGCTCCCCTCTGAGTGAGCACTGGAGGAGGAAGCCACAGCATTTCGATAGAGTCCAGTCATACAGTGGTTTGCGAAAGTATTCACCCCCTTGGCATTTTCCCTATTTTGTTGCCTTACAACCTGGAATTAAAATGGATTTTTGGTGGGGTTGTATCATTTGATTTACACAACATGCCTACCACTTTGAAGATGCAAAATAAAAAAAATTGTGAAACAAACAAGAAATAAGACAAAAAACAGAGAACTTGAGTGTGCATAACTATTCACCCCCCCCAAAGTCAATACTGTGTAGAGCCACCTTTTGCGGCAATTACAGCTGCAAGTCTCTTGGGGTATGTCTCTATAAGTTTGGCACATCTAGCCACTGGGATTTATGCCCATTCTTCAATGTAAAACTGCTCCAGCTCCTTCAAGTTGGATGGGTTCCGCTGGTGTATAGCAATCTTTAAGTCATACCACAGATTCTCAATTGGATTGAGGTCTGGGCTTTGACTAGGCCATTCCAAGACATTTAAATGTTTCCCCTTAAACCACTCGAGTGTTGCTTTAGCAGTATGCGTAGGGTCATTGTCCTGCTGGAAAGTGAACCTCCGTCCCAGTCTCAAATCTCTGGAAGACTGAAACAGGTTTCCCTCAATAATTTCCCTGTATTTAGCGCCATCAATCATTCCTTCAATTCTGACCAGTTTCCCAGTCCCTGCCGATGAAAAACATCCCCACAGCATGATGCTGCCACCACCATGCTTCACTGTGGGGATGGTGTTCTCGGGGTGATGAGAGGTGTTGGGTTTGTGCCAGACATAACGTTTTCCTTGATGGCCAAAAAGCTAAATTTTAGTCTCGTCTGACCAGAGTACCTTCTTCCATATGTTTGGGGAGTCTCTCACATGCCTTTTGGCGAACACCAAACGTGTTTGCTTATTCTTTTCTTTAACCAATGGCTTTTTTCTGGCCACTCTTCCATAAAGCCCAGCTCTGTGGAGTGTACGGCTTAAAGTGGTCCTATGGACAGATACTCCAATCTCCGCTGTGGAGCTTTGCAGCTCCTTCAGGGTTATCTTTGGTCTCTTTGTTGCCTCTGATTAATGCCCTCCTTGCCTGGTCCGTGAGTTTTGGTGGGTGGCCCTCTCTTGGCAGGTTTGTTGTGGAGCCATATTCTTTCCATTTTTTAATAATGGATTTAATGGTGCTCCGTGGGATGTTCAAAGTTTCTGATATTTTTTTATAACCCAACCCTGATCTGTACTTCTCCACAACTTTGTCCCTGATCTGTTTGGAGAGCACCTTGGTCTTCATGGTGCCGCTTGCTTGGTGGTGCCCCTTGCTTAGTATTGTTGCAGACTCTGGGGCCTTTCAGAACAGGTGTATATATACTGGGATCATGTGACAGATCATGTGACACTTAGATTGCACACAGGTGGACTTTATTTAACTAATTATGTGACTTCTGGAGGTAATTGGTTGCACCAGATCTTATTTAGGGGCTTCATAGCAAAGGGGGTGAATACATGTAAAACTGACTATCCTACCGATCCTTGACTTCGACGATGAATTTTACAAAATAGCCTCCAACAGTCTACTCAGCAAATTGAATGTAGTCTATCACAGTGCCATCCGTTTTGTCAACAAAGCCCCATATACTACCCACCACTGTGTCCTGTACGCTCTTGTTGGCTGGTCCTCACTACATATTCGTCGCCAAACCCACTGGCTCCAGGCCATCTATAAATCACTGCTAGGCAAATCCCTGCCTTATCTTAGCTCATTGGTCACCATAGCAACACCCACCCGTAGTATGCGCTCCAGCAGGTATATCTCACTGGTCATCCCCAAAGCCAACACCTCCTTTGGCCGTCATTCCTTCCAGTTCTCTGCTGCCAATGACTGGAACGAAAAAATCTCTGAAGCTGGAGAGTCTTATCTCCCTCACTAACTTTAAGCATCAGTTGTCAGAGCACCTTACCGATCACTGCACCTGTACACAGCCCATCTGAAATTAGCCTACCCAACTACCTCATCCCTATATTGTTATTTATTTTGCTCATTTGCACCCCAGTATCTCTATTTGCACATTATCTCTTGCACATCTATCATTCTAGTGTTAATACTAAATTGTAATTATTTTGCACTATGGCCTATTTATTGCCTTACCTCCATAACTTGCTACATTTGCACACACTGTATATATATGTTCTGTTGTATTTTTGACTTTATGTTTTGTTTTACCCCATATGTAACTCTGTGTTGTTGTTTTTATCGCACTGCTTTGCTTTATCTTGGCCAGGTCGCAGTTGTAAATGAGAACTTGTTCTCAACTGGCTTACCTGGTTAAATAAAGGTTAAATAAAATAAATAAAAAATAAAAAACATATGCACACACCATTTTTCCGTTTTTTATTTTGTAAATTTTTTTGAAACAAGTTTTCATTTTTTTTTCACTTCACCAATTTTGACTATTTTGTGTATGTCCATTACATCAAATCCGAATAAAAATCAATTTAAATTACAGGTTGAAATGCAACAAAATAGGAAAAACAACAAGGGGGATGAATACTTTTGCAAGGCACTGTATTTGTCCGGGAGGGACAATCTGGCATCGCTGACCAGGACGGACTGCTGGATGGGCTGGGGTACTGGCTTGCTGGGTCGACTTGTGGCAGAGACTCCTACGCTGTTTGGAGATGATGCCCCTTGAGTAATGTTGACTCGTTGAAGAACGCGGAGGACCTCATCCACAGCCGTTCCCAAATGAGCTGGTCGTGGTGTTGACGAAGTAGGTGTCCCTGTTCACTGACCATCTGGGAGATGTCTTTATTAACTGCTGCTTCCATTTGTTGAGGTAGTATTCTGTAACGTAGACGCAGGCAGTCAGGAATCAGGTGCAGTTAGTGAGTTTAATAACAACGAACCTGGAACGATACAAAACAAGAGAAGCGTCTGACATTTGTTGGTGAACACATAATTAGGAGAGGAAGTACAAACCAACGACGCTAGACAGAGAGGAATTTGCTTAAGCAAAAGACAGTTTATTAAACACAGAGTTATCTTGTACTGTTCAAGCTACATGCATGGACCCAATCAATTGCCTCTTATGGAGACAGTTGAGAAGGATGGATAAACAGAGTTTACATCATTACTTTATACAATGTAACATAAAGGAAGGGGTCCTTCTTCTAGTCCCTTGATTGGTTCCCGAGGCGTAGGAGGCGGTTCTGCTCTGTCCAGAGTAGAAGCCCCATTGGTGCACGGCAGAGTCCTCTGCCCTTGGCACCCGACCAGTAGACAGGGGAGTTGAAAATGAGTGTGCGTGCAAATGAAATGTTTGTGTGTGTCCAGGGAACTCGTGAGGAGTTGAGAATGAGTGTGCGTGAAAGTGAAATATTGGTGTGTGTCAAGAGAAAGTGGTGGGGAGTATCTGGTGGTTTATGGCCGGAGAGGGGGTGTTGTCCTGTTATCGCATTCCTGCAAGACTAGGTCATCTGGTGAGAAGATATGGTGTTCTCCTCTGTCCTTTGTTCTCTGACCTAAAACAGCATTTATTAAAAACAGGCTCCTAACACAAATTGGTCTTGCATAACATTTTAGTCAGACCAATCTATAACATTTTATATTTACTACGACAAATTATATTTACTACGACACATGGAAACACAACCAATACTACCTGCTGACTGATATGCCAGGTGTGCATAAAGATGGGTTGCCAGGACCGGTGGTTAGTAAACCGGTTATGTCGAGCGCCGGAGCAGGGGAGCGGGAGTGGACTTGACAACAACACAGACATGATATCTGAATATATTAAATATATGGTAGTGGTTGCATGGAGATTAAGCCTACATCTAGAAAAAGCAATTGAGAGTTCAAATATCCGTTTTCACTAATAGTCAAACTAAGACAATGACTTCTCTGGACATTGTTCTGTCACGATTCAGCAGTGTAGCGAGTGGAACACTTCCCACTGGGCACAGACGTCAGTTCAACATCTAGTTTTGATTTACATTTGGTTGAGTTTTCAACTAACGTGAATTCAACGTGAAATTTTAAAATCATTGTCACCATGTCATTGGATTTAGGTTAAAAGTTGAGTGAATAAAATATGAAAGTCCCTTACGTTGATAACATTATCCGTTTTCCACATTGATTCAATGTGGAAGGACATTTCAGCACATACTCAAACGCTGACCTTTGTTTCAGCATCATGAATATAGAAATCCGCTCCGATTTAGGAAGTTGATTAAACGGTTGCATGAAGCGCTTGTGGCGCTTATTAGACATTTCATTTGGGACTAATGAAAGGCTTTTAGCCAACGTCTCGTCTTCGTGCTGAATCCAACGCGGCCTCACGCCGACTGACGTGACAGCCAAGATGCTGAGACTGAAATAACTCCTCGCTCTTGTCTCCTCGGATTTCATATTCCAGCTTTTTATTCTCTTAATGAATGCCCTATACAGTGTGGTTTGATTCTGACTTATTAATGGAGAGGTACCCGTGTATATCAAGAACGGTCCACCATCCAAAGGACATCCAGCCATCTTGACATAACTGTGGGAAGCACAGTTTTCTTAAAGTTTTGTACACTCAGTGTATGTGTAGGCATATAGGCCTAAAATATTTTTGTTGACGGAAGTATAAGACATGTTTTTTGCTGGTTGGTTAAGGGGTTGGATCTCTTGTCTTGGTTGGTCCTCACATGGTATCGCTCCTCATTGCTGAGCAGGAGGGACTTGGACTGTGATCACCGGCTAGAAGAGAGAACTCACACACTCAATTAAGAGGTTATAACCGTCATGTTATAACAACATTCCATTTCTGATGATAATGCAGATGTTCTGTTTGGTATCTGGACAAATACAATATTTGAGTGATGTGAACAGGCCACTCAGCCCATTCTAGACACACCACAGGCATAGTATTGGTAGGCCTCCAACCAAACTTTGCATTTCAAGGTGATGTCTGTTCTAGGCAGGATGTCCTGCATGGGATCAGAAATTGGCGTGGGCATTTCTAACTCAATGGACCATTTCCTTTCCCTTGTCATTCCCATCATAATCCAATTCATGATAATTCTGCAATAAATCCCCAATTTAGACTGGCCCACTGGCCAATGGATCCGTGACTGGCCCACTGGCCAATGGATCCGTCTGGTGTTTGCCAAAACGAACCTATGGCCAGTCCATTTCTGATTCTAGAGGATCCATTTCTACACTGACTCACCATTCGTGGTCCCCGGGAGCAGCAGTTGACCACCTTGCAGCAGTAGGCAGCCAGCGTGACAGAGATAGCGATGAGAGCAGTTTGTATCAGGACCATCTCAGCAAGGTAATGTGCAGCAGAATTCTGTTGACAAGAATTGGAGCAATGTGTACTTTGTTTAATGTTTTTTCCAACTGCATGTCATATTTGCCTCTTTACACATTTATTAAGTAATATTTGCATGTAACATTTGATAAGGACATTCTCAATCTCAGCCCACTTTAACATGTAATATGAGCATCCCAGTTGCATTTACGTTGAATTATATCTAACACATACTGACATAGTGTCTGTAAATACTCACAGTAAATGAAAGGCAAGTTTTGTAGTAATCAGTGCGGTTGCCTAGACCGTATTCCCAGCAGCCATAATTGTGTCCTTCCATGTTTGACACAGAGATGATCAAGTTGAACACTGATGCTACACAGGCAACTACCTGCATCCCCAGACAGACCTTCAGCTGAGACAAGAGGAGAGGAGAGGAGAGGAGAGGAGAGGAGAGGAGAGGAGAGGAGAGGAGAGGAGAGGAGGGAGAGGAGGAGGAGAGGTAGAGGAGAGAGGAGAGGAGAGGAGAGGAGAGGAGGAGAGGAGAGGTGGAGAGGGGAGGGGGAGGGGAGGGAGGAGAGGAGAGGAGAGGAGAGGAGAGGAGAGGAGAGGAGAGGAGAGGAGAGGAGAGGAGGAGGAGGAGAGGAGAGGAGAGGAGAGGGAGAGGAGAGGAGAGGAGAGGAGAGGAGAGGAGAGGAGAGGAGAGGAGAGGAGAGGAGAGGAGAGGTCACTGGTACAGTAAATATCACTTGTTTTCTCAAAGAACTTGTTTGCCTACAATTGCATGACTTACAGTGGGAAGATGGAGATTCTGTGCAGCTATGGCCAAACTCTGTGTATTGGGAAGGTATGAACAGGAAATTAACTGTAGGATGTGGTGGAAACATAAAGACTAGTTGAAGAGATGCTGAAATGATGCATTCTGTCTGGAGGGAGTTGGCTGTGTTTTAAGTAAGAGATTGTTAGGAGAATATGCAATTGAATGTATTCCTTATTTCCTCTTAGATGTATTAAATCTGATTATTATCTGCATTCACACACACACAGAGACAGACAGACAGACAGACTGCTCTGACTGAATTTTGTGGACTTTGACTAAGGTGAGAAGGTGCCCTTTCTCACTGATGAGATTAATATGTATGAGCGAGAGGAGGAGGAGAGGAGAAGAGGCAGCTGAACCACTCCTTGACAAATCACAGCGGTCAAACACCCAGCCAGTGCTGACTCCATAGGCACAGTCACTGTGTGTGTGTGTGTGTGCGCGTGTGTGTGCGCATGCCTGTGCCTATGTATGCATCTGTGTCTGTGTGTGTTCATTGGGAAGTAAAGTGGTCATCAGTTTTGCCCCTGTGTGGAGATATTTAACCAGCGCACAAACACACACATTTCCATCTAAGATAGCTGATTGCCACTAAATGTCTCAAATTGTGCTCTCGTGTTCCTCTTGACTATCAAGTGTCTATTCAATATTCTCACCCTCCAGTGTCTGTCCCCATACTAGAATCAAAGCTGATTATTCATTGAAGGTGTACACTACCGGTCAAAAGTTTTAGAACACCTACTCATTCAAGGGTTTTTCTTAATTTTTTACTGTTTTCTACATTGTAGAATATTAGCGAAGACATGAAAACTATGAAATAACCCATATGGAATCATGTAGTAACAAAAAAGTGTTAAACAAATCAAAATATATTTTATATTTGAGATTCTTCAAATAGCCACCCTTTGCCTTGATGACAGCTTTGCACACTCTTGGCATTTTCTCAACCAGCTTCATGAGGTAGTCACCTGGAATGCATTTCAATTAACAGGTGTGCCTTCTTAAAAGTTAATTTGTGGAATTTCTTTCCTTCTTAATGCGTTTGAGCCAATGAGTTGTGTTGTGACAAGGTAGGGGGGCGTATACAGAAAATAGACGTATTTGGAAAAAGACCAAGTCCATATTATGTCAAGAACAGCTCAAATAAGCAAAGCGAAACGACAGTCCATCATTACTTTAAGACATGAAGATCAGTCAATACGGAACATTTCAAGAACTTTTAAAGTTTCTTCAAGTACAGTCGCAAAAACCATCAAGCACTATGATGAAACTGGCTCTCATGAGGACTGCCACAGGAATGGAAGACCCAGAGTTACCTCTGCTGCAGAGGATAAGTTCATTAGATTTACCAGCCTCAGAAATTGCAGCCCAAATAAATGCTTCACGGATTTCAAGTAACAGACACATCTCAACATCAACTGCTCAGAGGAGACTGTGTGAATCAGGCCTTCATGATCGAATTGCTGCAAATAAACCACTACTAAAGGACACATAAGAAGAAGAGACTTGCTTGACACAAGAAACACGAGCAATGAACATTTGTCCTTTGGTCTGGAGTCCAAATTTGAGATTTTTCGTGTCTTTGTGAGACGCGGTGTGGGTGTACGGATGATCTCTGCATGTGTATTTCCCACCATAAAGCATGGAGGAGGAGGTGTTATGGTGTGGGGGTGCTTTGCTGGTGACACTGTCTGTGATTTATTTAGAATTCAAGGCACACTTAACCAGCATGGCTACCACAGCATTCTGCAGCTATACGCCATCCCATCTGGTTTGGGCTTAGTGGGACTATCATTTGTTTTTCAACAGGACAATGACCCAAAACACACCTCCAGGCTGTGTAAGGGCTATTTTACCAAGAAGGAGAGTGATGGAGTGCTGCATCAGATGACCTGGCCTCCACAATCCCCCGACCTCAACCAAATTGAGATGGTTTGGGATGAGTTGGACTGCGTAGTGAAGGAAAAGCAGCCAACAAGTGCTCAGCATATGTGGGAACTCCTTCAAGACTGTTGGAAAAGCATTCCTCATGAAGCTGGTTGAGAGAATGCCAAGAGTGTGCAAAGCTGTCATCAAGGCTGTCACGCCCTGGCTCTGGGACTCTGTTATGTTGAGGCAGGGTGTGTTGTTTCTTTGTGTTTTGTGTGCTAGGGTGATAGTCTAGTTTTGTATTTCTATGTTGGCCAGGGTGGCTCCCAATCAGAGACGGCTGTAGCTCGTTATCTCTGATTGGGAGCCATACTTAGGTAGCCGTTAGGCATTCATTTGGTGTGGTTTCTTGTTCCGTGTTGGTTTGTGTATGTAACCAGGGACGTCACATTATCGTTTTGTTGTTTTGTTCGTGTGATCATTATTTAAATAAAATATGTTCGCATTCCACGCTGCGCCTTGGTCCTCTCTTCCCGACGATCGTGACAGAAGAAACCACCAAAACTGGACCAAGCAGCGTGTCCAGGAGCCATCGCCAGGGGAATCTCTAGCGGATCTCCTGTGCCACCTCGACTGGGTCAAGCCGTGTGAGGAGGAGAGAGGCTGGAGTTGGAAGCAGAATAGCGAGAGTTGGGCGAGAACTATGGAGGCCTGGTCCACGGGGAGGAGAGACACCCAGAAAATGTTTAGGGGGGGGCTCACGCCGTGGACGACGGGGCAGCAGGAGGCCGCGATAGAGCGGTTAGTAGAGGAGGCCGCCAGGTTACGGGGGCCACTGGTCACAAAAGGGGAGGAAAGTGTAGAGGCACGGCGAGAGGTACTGGGGTGTGTTACCAATCCGGTCCGGCCCGTTCCTGATCCCCGCGTAGGGCCAGTGGTGTGTGTCCCCAGTACGGTCCGGCCTGTTCCTGTCCCTCGCACCGAGCCTGTGGTGCGCGTCGCCAGCCCGGTTCGGCCCGTCCCTGCTCCCCGCACCAAGCCAATGGTGCGCGTCGTCAGCCCGGTGCGGCCTGTTCCTGCTCCCCGCACCAAACCAGTGGTGCGCTTCGTCAGCCCGGTTCGGCCCGTCCCTGCTCCCCGCACCAAGCCAATGGTGCGCGTCGTCAGCCCGGTCCGGCCCGTCCCTGCTCCCTGCACCAAGCCTGTGGTGCGCGTCGTCAGTCCGGCACAGCCCATGCCTGTTCCACCGGTGCCTGGTCCGGCACCGGTCAGCTGCTCCACTCCGGAGCTAGAGCAATCCGCTCCACCAGTGTTCAGTCCAGCTCCGGCCAGCAGGGCCAGACCGGACCAGGGGCGCTTTGGGGGGCTGGTTGGAGGGTGGGGGTCAAGCCCTGGAGCCGGAACCGCCTCCGAGGAGGAATGCCCACCCGGCCCTCCCCTGTTCGGTTTATGTTTGGCGCGGTCGCAGTCCGCGCCTTTGGGGGGGGGGGGGTACTGTCACGCCTTGGCTCTGGGACTCTGTTATGTTGAGGCAGGGTGTGTTGTTTCTTTGTGTTTTGTGTGCTAGGGTGATAGTCTAGTTTTGTATTTCTATGTTGGCCAGGGTGGCTCCCAATCAGAGACGGCTGTAGCTCGTTATCTCTGATTGGGAGCCATACTTAGGTAGCCGTTAGGCATTCATTTGGTGTGGTTTCTTGTTCCGTGTTGGTTTGTGTATGTAACCAGGGACGTCACATTATCGTTTTGTTGTTTTGTTCGTGTGATCATTATTTAAATAAAATATGTTCGCATTCCACGCTGCGCCTTGGTCCTCTCTTCCCGACGATCGTGACAAAGGCAAAGGGTGGCTACTTTGAAGAATCTAAAATCTAAAATATATTTTGATTTGTTTAACACTTTTTTGGTTACTACATGATTCCATGTGTGCTATTTCATAGTTTTGATGTCTTCACTATTATTATACAATTTAGAAAATAGTAAAAATAAAGAAAAACCCTTGAATGAGTTGGTGTGTCCAAACTTTTGTGTATCTGCACAGCTTAAATGACCTCCAGTACCTGGCTACGCAATGCAGCTCACTCTACCAAGTTTCTTTACAAATATTTGAAAAGCAGGGGTGGCAGGGGTGGCAGGGGTGGCCAACTCTGGTATTTGAGAGCCACATGTTGAGAATAATTTTGTAAAAGCCATATTAATGTAGTTGAGGTGTTTCATGACTGTATGTCCGAGTGAGTGTTACTGCTTTGTCTGGATGGCTGCTGTCTTGTTTGGGGTTGTCAGAGTTTGGGGGGACTGGTGGTGGGTGGTTTGTGGTGAGTGGGCTGTTGGGATGGCAGAATGTTAGATGGAGCGTGTGCCCCCGGCCAGTGAGCAGTCAATTACTGTGTGAGGATGTCTCCAGACAGCTGGGAGGCCGCGGGGCAGGCCATGGGTGCTCCTCTTATAACCTTGCTGTCCGTTGTCTGTAAATCTGATCTGACTGCACTCTGCTCCGAGCCCTGGGCCCACGTTTGAAAGCACAGCCAGCACGCCCCAGACAGACAGACAGCCAGCAGGCTCCGGACAGACAGACAGACAGACACACGCACAAACACACACAAACATACAGGTAAATATATTTCTAGAAGGTCATTACCTGATTGTTAATAACCAAGGAAGGGATATCTCTGTGAGGTATTTTAATTTCAGGGTTTTTAAATGTTCACTTTAATGTGCACTGTACGTCATAACCATCCTAAGTGAGACATACTGCACATCCTCTCTTACATTGTCTCAGATTTTGATGCGTTTTTATGACATGCCACTGATTGACTGTAATGATGGTAAATCAATTAACAGGAAAATTTGCAGTATGAGAATATAATTCTAAGCCACGCTGCAAATTGAACATTCTAATTGACATGTTGATTAATTAATTAGTTCAGACAAATTTACACAAATTAGTTTAGAAGGATCTGTCAATCACAAGACAGACAGGCAGCCGTGTTTTTGACTGTCATCTAATTACAATACAGGTTGGAAGCCACTGTTCGCCAAGATTCTGAGATAACACAACTTTTTAGAAAAGTTTAAATCAGATAAATCCTTGTAGATTACCTGACAGACACAGTGGCAGACTCATCTCAGTCAGTTAATATATTTACAGAAAATAGCCCCCCAAAGCCAATCACTTACAC